AAAGAGAAAGGAAAAATTGAAATCGCATCATATGACCCCTTTAAGTTAATCGACAACGAACTGTGACTCCCGGGAAAAACGGGATGTCTGGTACCAAATACACAAAATAATGTTCTTTTTAGCAACATCATATGAACCTTTTAATAAAGGAACGTGAATAAATGAGACAGTCAAGAGTGGGACATTCTTGAAGACAGACAGTATTAAAAACTCAAAGCCGCGAATATTAGTTTTAGCTCGTCAACGTCTGGTCTTAGTCACAGAAAAAATATTCGTTAACGAATATTTTTCGTCGTCGTCTTCGTTGATGAAATTAACACTGACTCAAAGCCACGAAACGGAACTTAATCCGCTCCTGACTGCATGTTTTCTGCGCACGAGGTCCGAGTGGAACACGGAGAAGCATAGACTAACGCCTAAAACGGTCAAAACACGGAGTGTCAAAATGCCTGCACTGGTGTGTAGTCACATAAATACGGTCGACATGCACTGTGCATTATTCTTCACTCACTCAGTCTCTCGCTCACACACACACACACACACATAGAGAGAGAGAGAACTCTGAAGAGAGTTCATCCCCCTGTAAATCAACCTCACAGTAAAAGCCCAACGGTTAGTTGCATATTTGTGTATTTTAGTTTAGTTTCCATGGTCCTAATAAAGTTACTATTATTAAAACTTTATTGAAGAAAAAAAAAAAAATAATAAAATTATATACTGTATATATACTGTATGTTGAGTATGTTGAAATAAAATATGTTTAAGGTTTTCAAATATATTTTAAATTATTTCAGGTAAAAGTTTATTTTATTTCAAGTAACAAAAAATAGTTTTTGCTTTTTTATGGTTTTAGTTTGTTTTAGTTAACTACAATAACCCTTGTCTACACCGTAATATAAAGCAACAAACACCCCATTACAACCAATAGAAGCCGTATGCATTTGCATACATGCAAAACAACACCACTCGCTAACTAGAGTCTTTCAGTTTTGCTGTCACATTGTGTAACTCGCTTGCAGTGTGTCTACAGAGAAATGGATGTCTGTATATACGGCTTCACTGCTCTAAGCAAATACTTTCTAGTAGATTTCCTCGTGTCTGCAAGGAAAGACCAAGAAAGAAACAGCAAGACTACATTACCAGGGCCCATTCATTAAGTTTATAAACAGGCTTAAGTCCATAAAATAGAAAAGACATAACAGCATGAACACAGATCTAATGTCAAGCTTCACTGGCAATCATTTTTGTCATATAGAACTGAAAACTAAATATCCATAGGCAATTCATCAAAGCTCATTGAAATTTTGAGAGTTTGATGCATTGACACTTAAGTCACTGCTGAAGAAAGTACTTTTAAGGTCCACTGTATGCAGTATTTATGTAAATGCATGAGGCATTCAGGAAGGCTGTTCAGCTCTGTTGTGACTGTGACATATCACCATGCTATTTCTGAACAACGCCAGCATCTGGAAAGGAATTAATTCCTTAAATAACATGTCCTTTGACTAATACATTTCCATGACTTGTCCAGGAATTATCCAGTCATTTGTTCCAGAGATGAGCTGGACAAGAAAATAAAAACGGACACATTCTGCACTGTATTTTTTGCACTACTCTTGCTTCTCACATGTGTAAATAACAAAATCTCATGTGTATTGCTTTAACCCTGTAAAGCCTGACATATGAAATAATCTATTTTTATATGGAACAGTCTAATGAACCTTTAAACATAAATAAAAATAAAATCTAAAAAAGTTAAATCTAAAATAGTTAGAATATGGAGCTCATCTTCAAGGAGGAAAAAAAAAACACCTCAGTTTTATTCAGAGCCCCAAAAAATGTGCAATTTAGTGCAGATGCTGATATTTATGTGGCCAAAAAATATGATGAAATTCTGATAGCTTGTAATGTAAATCAATGAGATCTTTATAACAGTAGAGCAAATATTTCCATAAAACGACAAATATCAGTAGTCACACTATATCTTCAATAATATGTCTTAATAAGATGATATTTAAATGATCAAAACATATAATGCAATGCAAGATAATGATGATTGAGAGATGAACAAATAAACGCTTCTCAAAAGCCTGATGATCATATTTGACTAACTGATTTTTCTAAAATGATTTATGGAGAATCAAGTAAAGCCGAGCTGCTTCAGTCCAGTAAGTGTTCATCTGGAAATATTACTAACAATATCAAAGTTATTCTTACATTTATTTTATAAAAATCAGTAAAGATTTGACAGCAAAAAGACCATGAGCTGAAGGTGGAAGTTTGTACAATTATACTAAAAGACCTTTTACTTATTAAACAAACTATCAATCAGACGACAGAAGGCATGGAGGAGATTGTGTGTGACAGGTTTTTCAGTAAAGTTCTGATCATGTTGATAATCTAGATGCTTTAGTAGGCTTTATAGGGTTAAAATATCTTCAAATGAAGCTTCTCTGACAGACCTGGTCAATGACAAAGTCCAGGGTGCTGAGAAGCAGGAACCCACGTCCGCGCACCAGATACTCTCCCAGCGCCACCATGTGACTCTCCTCCTCGTCCTCGGCCCGCTGGGCCACCGCACTACACAACTGGTGCACATCCGTCAGGAACTCCCGTGCCAGGGTGTTACTTGCCCCACTCATGTCCGAGCTGATGGAGGAGAGAAAGCGAGAGCATGAATACATGTATATCATCTGCTAGAACCTGCTAGAGCTCTGCTTTAGTTTCACATACATTGCAGTTCTCTTTTTGTATAAATCAACAAGAAAATAAAAACAAGTGAAACTGCTCAGGTGGTTTCAGGTCCCATAAGTACCTCTATATAAACGGAGTTAGATACAAGAAAATCTACTATCCTTATAACCTAGTGTGCTTCTACTGTTTTAATATTTGCATGTAGTTAATTATGCAGTCTGTCTATCTGTCAACAGTCTTTGCAGATCAGATGCTGCCTATGTAAGGAGCTTAATATTTAGCAAAAACACACATTGGCATGTTAATGTCAATTTGGTTTAGTATGTAGCAAAAACACACGTTGGCATGTTACTGACAATTTAATTTATAGTAGTAAGCATGAGCGCTACTCTTCTGCACAGTGGTAACCTAAACATTTTTCTAATTTCCAAAACCTCTTCTAAATGTTCAAAATAACTCACCATTGCAAGTATACAACTCTAGCATGTCATTTTCTTTCATTAAAAACACTTAAAATGATAATTTTTTTCAACATGTCTCCCTCTCAATGCGATCCCATGCAAAGCATGCTGGGAACTACACATCCACTGTTCAGATTGTTGTGTCAACAAAAAGTATTCATGTAGTAACACAAAATGATTACATTTGTACAAATTTAAGTGGACTGAACATAATGGAAATATTGTTTGGAAATTTTGTTGTTTCTGATCATTTTAACCAAGTAATTTGAACAAGCATTAAAAATATTTTTTTGCATGCACCCAAGAAATTGCTTGTTCAGAGAACTTAATTAAATTGAGGAAAACTTTTCCATGCAATTAGTTCAGGTCCATACAAACAAGTTCAATTAAACAAATAATGTTTTGTTATTAACATTATTTGTTTAACTGAACTTGTTTAAGTCTTGTTGTATGGACCTGAACTAATTGAGTGGAAAAGTTTTCCTTAATTTCATTAAAGGGGTCATATGATGCGATTTCAATTTTTCCTTTCTCTTTGGAGTGTTACAAGCTCTTGGTGCATAAAGAAGATCTGTAAAGTTGCAAAGACTAAAGTCTCAAATCCAAAGAGATATTCTTTATAAAAGTTAAGAGTAGTTCTCTGAACAAGCTAGTTATTTGAGTGTAGGTTTTGGCAAAAAAAAAAAAAAGTGATCAACATCGCAATTTCTCACAAAGGCTGGCAGCCCATTTGACCCCACCCACCCATTCTTATCAATAATGCAGCTAACCAATCGAACTTGATCAGTGAAATGTAGGTTATGGTATGCACACACACTATGACTATGTGAGGCCTGACAGGAACTACAGTGATGTTACGCAACAAGATGTTAGGCTTCATAAACACGGACAGCAGATCCTGTCATCAGACACTGCTGCAGCGTACTGTATCGCATCAACCAGTTTTTCCATCCACCACATCAACCGCTGGACAGGATTTCAGCTGTCTCACTGCCAAACCACAGACAGCAGAACAAATTGTCACAATAAGCGTAACAATTCCCAGACATTGATTTAACCTCATTTCTTTGAAGACGTTAAGGATGATTGCACTAATTATCCATCAGATTAAACCCCAAAAATCAAAAGAAAAAAAGATTTTCACAATTTATATTTTACATAAAGACAACGATTATATGTATATTAGGCTTGCACGAGTTGGAGAAAACAATCCAATTACAATTTTCCTGATAAAAACTGTATTTGCAATTTAAAATGCATTTTCTACAAAAAGAAAAAAAAAAATCCAGGCCAAAATTCTGTGATTATATGTCAATATGACAATATTACTATTATTATTATTATTATTATTATTACTACTACTATTACCAATAATAATAAATGTTATTATTTTTATTAAAAAAAAAATTCTAATATTAATATATTATATTTCACGTTAAATAAAAGTGTATTTACAAAAACAATATAATAATAAAAATAATAATTTTATTTACAGTACAAGTGTAAAATTACACTTCTAAATAATTTGTCTCTTCATTTTCAAACTTTAAACCATAAATATAAATTATAATTTTTATATATATTAAAATTGTGTTTATATATATTTCATTTATAATTTATTTATTATTAAAAAAAAGAGTGAAGAATTTTCCAAAAATAGTCAATACCGTGTGTAATATTAATATATTATATTTCACGTTAAATAAAAGTGTATTTACAAAAACAATATAATAATAAAAATAATAATTTTATTTACAGTACAAGTGTAAAATTACACTTCTAAATAATTTGTCTCTTCATTTTCAAACTTTAAACCATAAATATAAATTATAATTTTTATATATATTAAAATTGTGTTTATATATATTTCATTTATAATTTATTTATTATTAAAAAAAAGAGCGAAGAATTTTCCAAAAATAGTCAATACCGTGTGGTTATTTAATATGGCCATACTGCCCCCACCCCAAATTCACACACGCTCTGTTGCACAATGCTCAGATACACAATTTTAGCAGACATTTTAATACGTTCACTTTACATCACCGCAGCTCCAGCACACGCACCATAAACACACCCCGACAGTGCTTTAAAGACACGCCTCCTTTACCATCTACAATAATCTACAGTACCTCTTATAACCAACCCGCAGCAGAACTCAAAATCTCCATAATCGTCCGCAGTGTTTCAGCCACATATTCCACTCATGCTCGTAGTAACGTCTCCGCATAAACCGCAACAACCAAGTCTGCGTCCGCATGCCTCCACACTTCACTAATGACTGAATTTTCTGTCCTGCTCTGTAAATTCCATTAAATCGGAATTTCAGATGGAAGCTTTCCAGATTTTGAGTTGATCAGTGCATCACATGAAAGCATGTGATGTCACATGGTCGCACAGGGGCAGGCTGGGAAGCAAACTTCTGGTCAGGCCTGTGTAATTTGATTTTGTAGTAAAGCTTAGATGGTGAACCTGTTATTTTCCAGACGCTAAAACAATCCTGTTATGTAAAAACAAATCTTACTCCTCTGCAAACCATTTTATCTTATTTTGCACAACCATGCTTGTATTTCTATAAATGAGTAAACCAGATTTTAGAAATGGACAACATCTTTTTAAACACTGTTATATTCAAACTGAATTATCAAAAATGAACACGAAAGAAGATATTTTGAAGACATTTTTCAAAATGTCTTACTTTCTTCAGTCGAAAACAAATGAAGTCAGTTGGGTTTGGAACAACATGGGCAAATGATGACAGAACATTAACATTAATGTTATTAACTAACATTAGTTAAAAATACAACTCGTCATTGTTATTTCATGTTAGCTCAGATTAGGCCTGTCGCAATAATCAATATATCGACTTATCGCTCAATATATGTACATGACCTCAATAATTTTTGGTGACGCAATATATCGCACATTATATTTACTTAAAAATGTATGTCACCATGTTTTGTACATTCCACTTGTGCCTGTGTCTTTTGCAGCTTCTCGTACATAACGTGGTGTAGTCATGAGGTGCTAGTTCAAATTTAAAAAATGCTTCTACAAAAAATGTTTCATCTGCAGATATGGTCTTGTTTAGGGATCTGTGCCTTTGTGCATACGGACATCTGATTGCTAAGTAGGGATTGTGTTTTTCAGCAATAGTGTGTCAAAATATTTGAGAAAAAAAAAATATATATATATTATATATATATATATATATATATATATATATATATGTATTGGAGTATATCAAACAAGTAGCCCTTGAGACTATTTTATCCCTTCAGGGAGCCCTCACTCACAAAAACGTTGGAGACTCCTGCTTTAGAAGTATTTCTCAGTGTTATTTAATGTTAACTGAAGTACTTTACTAATGTTAACAAATGAAAACTTGTTAAGTGTTACTGAGGTGTCTTACCTTGGTCAAAACCAAAATTAAGAAATATTAAATACTTAGTCATTTTTTTCCAAGTAATATTTTCATATTGGGACAATAATAGATTATGAAAGCTTGTTTCCGACACAGGATTAAATAAATAAATAAAGTAATTGCAACATTTTTTTTCTCAGAATTACAAGTTCCTATCTCACAATTCTGAATTTGTATCAAAAGATGTAAACTAGCATTTCTGAGAAAATCTGAACTGTGTGAAAAAAAAAAGTCAAAATAACCGTTTGTTATTTTTTTTACCCCATGGCGGAAACAGGCTTCGATAATAGACAGTATATTAGTTAATATAGTTTATTTCAAGTAGTTATCTTTTTCTTCTTTTTTTTTTTTTTAACACAGGCTTATATAAACTAAGACAATGAAACACTAAGAAATTGCTTTTGAAATACCATGCTTAAATGTATTTGACCACCTGTCATAATAAAGAGAAAACACAAATATATTAGGAATCTGTCAAAAACTCGTTTAAAACAAAAAAAAAAAAAATACTACTGTCATTTATTAGGCAAATAACAAACTGAAACAACTAAATAGTCTTTATTCACACATAACCAAAAAACTTATATATTTTATTTTTATTTTGTATGGCCTCCTTTGGCTTTGATAACAGCTTGCATTCTTGCTGCCATTGTTTTTATGCACTTTTTCAAAATCTCTGTTGTTATTGACTTCCAAATAGTTTCTTAGTTGTTCCCAAATACTTGCTTTTCATTAAACGTTTGTGCGATCTATCTTTGAATCCATTAAATCCCAACAATAACAATATTTTAGCATTAGAAACACTACTGTATATTAACCATTACTGAAACATAAAAATTATTTTGGTAATCACCAGTTCTGTTAGTTTAGGGCAGCTGTGGCACAAACCTTACATTGGGTGGTGGTCTAATAAATTCGTTAAACACTGCACATTTCATGAAATGTAAATACTCTGCACTGTGCAATACACACATGTAAATATCCTATATTATGTATATGACACTACACTCCCATTTTATTATCATTATAATTGCTATGCAAGTTAGGGTTGGGCACCGCCACATCCCAATACCGTGTTCGGAAAGAAAATGACGTGTATACAGAACCCCTAAAGGGAATAAATACGAGACGGGAGGAAAATATATATTTCAATATTTTCCCTCGCAGTTATATCATTGGGTAATTATACTACATATATTTCGGGCATCAGGGAGCCGCTATTATACCTGGCATTGAAACTGCTTTTGAATGCACAATTGCTTTTTAGTTTCACTTTCGAGATTCGCGATCGCACGTACTCTGTTTATACTATGGAGCGGCAGTACTTACCACACATTTTACAAGATTAGAT